AGATTTATAATAAATCCGAAGAGTGGTTTGAAAAGTGAGTTATTTATTAATATTCATTAATATATTTGGATTGTTTAGAGTTTAAATTAGAAATGATTTTTTTTTAGAGAGTAAGTATAAATACCAATTATATTACATATAATATTTAATAGTTTATGATTATTTATTATAAATAATATGATTTTATTCATTTTTATCAAGTCCGTAAGTATAAAAATCTAAGTATTGAAAATAAGCTATTCAAGATTATGAATATTTACTATTTTATTTATAACATATTGAAGTTAGTAAGTATAAAGAATATTTATTAATCTAAGTATTTTAAATTAAACTATTCAAGTTCATAAATATTTACTATTTTATTTCATTTAACATACTGTAGTTAGTGAGTATAAAAAACAACTATTAATATAAGTATTTAAAATAAGTTATTCAAGTTTATTAATATTTACCATTTAACTTCATTTCAGCCAGTAAGTATAAAGAACATTTATTAATCAAAGTATTTATTATTTGATTTTATTTTTATTTATGTTATTATAGTTCGTAAGTATAAAAAACGTTCATCAACATAAACATTTAAAATAAGATATTCAAATTCATAAATATTTACTATTTAGTTTCATTTATTATATTGCAGTTAGTAAGTATAAGAACATTTATTAATTTAAGTATTTAAAATAAGTTATTCAATATTTACTATGTAATTTCATTTTTATTTATGTTAATGTAGTTTGTAAGTATAAAGAACATTTATTAATCTAAGTTTTTAAAAATAAATCATAAATATTTACTATTTAATTTTAATATACTGCAGTATGTAAGTTTAAAAAACTTTTATTAATATAAATATTAAAATAAGTTATTAGATTTATCTAAGTATTAAAATAAGCCATTTAATATTTACTATTTAATTTTATTTTAGTTCGTGAGTATAAAGATCATCTACTGTAATAATTCAAGTATTTAAAAAGGCACTATTCAAATTCATAAATATTTATTACTTAATTTTATTTAACATATTGTAGTGAGTGGATATAAAGAACAATTATTAAACTAAGTATTTAAAAATAAGTTATTAAAGTTCATGAATATTTACTATTTAATTTCATTTTTTATTTATGTTAATGTAGCTAGTGAGTATAAAGGTCATTTATTAGTCCAAGTATTTAGAAATAAACTATTCAAATTCATAAATATTTACTATTTGATTTCATTTTATTTATATTAATGTAGTTCGTAAGTATAAAGAACATTTATTAATCTAAGTATTTAAAATAAACTATTCAAGTTCATAAATATTTACTATTTAATTTCATTTAACATACTGTAGTCAGTGAGTATAAAGAACAACTATTAATTTAAGTATTTAAAATAAGTTATTCAAGTTTATGAATATTTACTATTTAATTTCATTTCAGCCTGTAAATATAAAGAACATTTATTAATTTAAGTATTTAAATAAGTTATTCATGTTCATGAATATTTACTATTTTATTGATGCTAACGTAGTTCGTAAGTATAAAAAACATTCATTAACCTAAGTATTTAAAATAAGCTATTCAAATTCATAAATATTTACTATTTAATTTCATTTTATTTGCATTGATTAGTCGGTGAGGATGAATTTATTGCATTAAATTTTAAAGTGAATGTTGGTGACGATAACGACAACTATTTCTATGAGAGGGACCGTGAGCCATCTAGCATAGTCGCACTTAAAACCTTGTCTGGTTATAAGGAAAATCCTCAAGATTTTTTAAAGGAAGTAAGTTATTCATTTGTTGCGCAGCTATTAAAAGTATATTGAACTGATTATATATATTTGTACAGTTTAACAATCATATGAAATGTACACTTAGGGGTAGCAGGCTTAAAATATATGGATTGACACAAAATACAGAATCAAATGAATACTTTATGGTATTTCAATACGCAGATAATGGAAGTCTTTACAAGTTTTTAAGAAAAAACTTCCTTGATCTTACCTGGGAAACTAAATTACAACTACTAAAAGATATTTCAGATAATTTAATTACCATTCATGCTGCAGGATATATTCATGCAGACTTTCACAGTGGTAATATTTTGCAACATAAAGGTATTAGTATAAATATACAATCTTACATCTCAGATCTAGGATTGTCTAAAAATTACAACGAAAACGATTCAGAAGGTGGTATTTATGGTGTTATGCCTTATGTCGCTCCTGAGATTTTATTAGGTCAAAAGTTTACAAAAGCTGCAGATATTTATGGCCTCGGAGTCATCATGTCTGAAATGTCAACTGGACAAAGACCTTTTGATGGTTATGAATTTAATATTGGTCTTGCAATAAAAATTTGTCAAGGATTGCGGCCAGAATTTGCACCTGGAACTCCGAATTGCTATATTGAATTTGCTAAACAATGTATGCATGCAGATCCACAAAAACGGCCTACCGCTCAGAATGTTTTTGATAGAATTGTTAATTGGAAGGAAGCCATAGAAAGTTCAGACGATGCAAATGAAATTAAAAGGCAATTCTTAGATGCAGATAAAATAACGAAAGAATTACCAATTGTCACACCAAAACATCCCGATTTTATGTATACCAGCAAAATTATCAACACACAAAAAATATTAGATGCAATTAAAGGTACATATTTACTTTATAAATTTATATTATTTTACATATTTTAAACTAATTATGCTCAATTAAAAGCTTTGGCAAGTCAACCTATTGCCATTGTCGAAGTTCCTATTGATTATTAAACTTACTGCACTTATATTAAAATTTTATACTCACTTTATATTGTACTTAGATTAATTGTTTTAAGAATATAAGTTTATGTTACTAATATATATAGTTTAAATTACAAAATATAAATTGAAAATATGTATATTTATTTTAAAACTTGAAAAAAAATTTAGTTATTTAAATTCTTTGTATTAACTAACACTAATATTTAAAGGATTATAAATTTAATCATTTGATCTAAACCTGTTTCCTCTATTAAATTGGTTTGCTCACTTAATAATCTTTTAATCATTAGAACTAAATAAATTTAAAAGTGTAATAACAGTTAAAAATACGTTATAGATTTAAGTACAGAGTTTAAACTTTCTAAGATTAACATCTATAGTAATATTAATACATTTATTTCTATAATTCTCGATCTAAAGTACCCCTTGTAAGAATATTTGCCAGTATTTGGTCGGTTATTTAATAATCATATTAGTATGTCAAATAAATTCTGATTATTAATGATTAGATTATTAGTGATTAGAGATATGTAAAAATTGTTTTATGATTCGTAACTAATTTTTTTTGAAATTTTGCAATCTCAGAAAATCCGAATCAATTATTACAAGATACACCTATGATAGTTTGCACCTATTATATGTTCAGAATTTTCAAGATTTTATAAGTTTTGTTATAGAAATTTTTGGCATAAATTGTTTCACGTTAGGATTAGGGTCTGGGAAGGATTTTCAGAGGTATAGAAATTTTTACTTATAACACCTCAACTGTTTAATCAGTCAGTTTTTGAGATAATGCATGCATCATCCTAGGTACGTTTTAGTAAAATCCAATCTGGATAACCTTTTTAATTTAAAATTTAGACAAAGTTTCGAATTTCAGCTGCTAGATTCTTTTATAAGATTGCCTATTTGAGTGACGAAAAGGGAAAACCTGTAAATCATTTCACTTAATGAATAAAATGATTTACAGGTTTTCTCTTTTCGTCACTCATTTTTATATTTTTATTCACATTAATAAACAGTATCATAATTAAATTAGAATGGAAAAGTTAGATTCGTAAATGAAATATTTAAATAACAGTCCTTTTTTTTAATTTCACGTTATATTCCCTTTTCTTTAAACATTAAGCGATAATAAAAGATGACGAAGGCATTTGCGCATTGATGTCATATATGTCGTTGTCAACGTTATAATTTAGTATTAAGATGCATAATTATATTTAATAACGATATTCGTATAACAAATAAATTAATATCATGATGCTCAAATTGAGATTCATATAAAATAACGTTAATAAATGCGGTAGTAGCATATTTGGTATACCATATTTTGTTTTACGTACGTACGAACGAACGTGTATAACAGATGGGAATTTAATGAATATGAAAATTGAATACAGATGTGATTATTAAAGGAACATTCGTCCGTTCATTTGTAAAAATGACTAATATCGCCCTTTAAAGGAAAATTATCTGATAAATTAATGTTAAGGAATCACTGAGATTTAAATAAGAAATAAATTCTTACGTATACTATTCAAAAACTATCATGAACCCCATACATAACAATAAATTATTAAGAATAATTTGTTATTAAAAATAACTTAATTTGTTATTAAGAATAAATTGTTAAGGACACAATAAAACATAGTACAATTTTTGTAATTGTCGCAGTACAATGATAAATAAGCAGCAAACTTAATGTTAATGTAATAATAATAACGTTAACGTTAATAATGAACACCTTAACTTTAATAATGCTAATGAAATTGAAATTAACTCTACATACCTAGGCGTCTAATAATGACACAGTGGCTGTTCTATAAATAGCGACCAGACTTTCCCACAATCGCAACTGTGTTGGAAATCTGTTTACATTAAAAAAAAATGTGCGCAGGGGGGATTTGATCACGTTTTACAAAGGTTAGACTGTTGGGTACGTACTCATTATTCTTATCCTAAAAGGGATAGTCCGAAACAAGTTACTTGTGCATATATAGCAAAAGTATGTTTGAATGATGAAATGTCTCGTTATCATCAATTTGTTTCTAATACTTACGTACGTACATCTATAAAACCATTTCATTAAGAATAGCCTTGATTGCATGATTCATGATTGCATGATAAACAACGCCAAATTACACAAGAAACCACATGCAACGTATTACCTACGTACGTACACACGTACAGTACATCATCATTATAAATAATAAGTCTCGATTTTTTTTTCACGCAAGACTTCTTCCTACAAAAAAATGAGTGATGACATAAATGCTGAAAGAGTACCATTATTAGAAACTCAGGAAGATCTTCAAAATCCCGTTGACTGCAAAGAACAATGTTGCTGTTGTTTGTTTTCAATAATGATGATTTTATTATTAATTATATCTGTAATTACCAATGGTGGTCTCTCTTATACCGATTTATCAACTGACATATCAAAAATTCCTTATGAGTATAAATTAAGATATAAAAGTCTTTGGGGATATAATTACATTATTGAAGGTCATCCAACTGAATTTAACGGTGATGCTAATTCTTTTAGTCCGATTAAATCAGATAACTCTAATCAACCAAAGTTCATAAAATATGCTGAATTAATAGTTCCTTTTTGGGTATATGGAAATTTTAATGTTATAGAATTTAGACGTAATCAAACTGGCTCTGTATTCCCCGTTTCAACCGTGAATTCTAGGATCGATAATTATCTGACAAATGAAATAGACATTGTATTTACTGCATCTGACGATGATGATTTAAAATTAGAATCCTGTGAATATCGAATTTCTTGGAGTTGGTTACTTAATGGTTATATTTGGAGATTATGTGAAAATCTAAACGAATCAGTTTTCAACCAAGTTGCTATTTTTACCGGTCATCCTTCCTTGGGTTTGACTTTTTCTTCTGTGGACGAAAAGACAAATTACGGTTATAGCTCTAGAGCTGCTTTTTTTTGGGATCTGTATGAAAGGTATTTTTTGTTTTGTACTTTCTTTAGTTTGTCATATCAAATATTCTGTTACTCTAATCATTTCCTAATTCTTCGGTAACTTGTTAAAAATTTAGGGATATATTCATTGATAAGGCTGCTCCGTTTCCTCCCATCATACCCGCTTTGTACACTGCTTATTATAATTACTTGGAATATATGAGGCAAAGAAATAATAGACGCGAGGATTGAAATTAAAAAATCACATATCGTCATGATTATTTGGTCTATTGACTGTTAAGTACGCAACTAGCTCTACCTTCCAAATCTGTAATTAAATTTCTTATACGCTAATATCTAGTTAAATTTTATATTATATTGAATTGTCACTGTAGTCACTACAATGAGTACAATTTGGCCTCACAGTTAACGGGATATATATAACGTTGGGTAGAATATAAAAGGGTATAAATGGTATTCCGTGGAAAGAGATTAATGATCTAGATGTGTTTATTATGAATTTATATCTGATATAGTATAATAAATCAGTGTTATACTCATTTAGTTGATTCAACAACAATTTAATGTAGAGATTGAGAATGCAATCCTTTTTAATAAATCAATATACGACATACTATACGTGATGGAAATAAAGTTTATGTACCATCTATACCCTTTCAGAAAACCACTTCCTTTGAGAACGCACTTACTGAGAACTACATTCTTTTGAGAATTGCACTTACTGAGAACTACTTTCTTGAGCATCGCACTCTTTGAGAACTACATTCTTTGAGCATTACATTCTTTGAGCATTACACTCTTTGAGAACTTACACTCTTTGAGAACTACACTCTTTGAGAACTTACACTCTTTGAGAACTTACACTCTTTGAGAACTACACTCTTTGAGAACTACACTCCTTGAGAACTTACACTCTTTGAGAACTATACACTTTTTGAGAACTACACTCTTTGAGAACTTGCACTCTTTGAGAACTTGCACTCTTTGAGCACTTGCACTCTTTGAGCACTTGCACTCTTTGAGTACTTCACTCTTTGATAGCTACACTCTTTGAGAAATTATTCTATCTTCTATACGCACTTGTCTAGTCTCTAATATTAGCAAGTTTAAATATAGTGATTAATGCCTTTACTGTAAAGTATTACACGCAAATCAAAATTATATACATAGTACAAAAATAATTTTGTTCTTTATTGTTCATTTTTGTTAATTTGATCACTAATTAGTTAAGAACTACGCGTCTAAAGTTGGAAACGGCTGATGCTGGACCTCGATTTAAAAATATAAACCCTATTAAAATCCACTTATACACTTTTATTACCTAATTCTAATATAACTATACAAAAAATGCATCCCCAAAAAATTGAAAATTTTAAAGTATTTAGGATTAAAAAATATTGTTGATATCAATTTTAGTGTATCAAGAATTGATCTGTGTTAATTTTTGCTGATAAAGTTTAAAATGATGCGCAACATAGTCCATTAAATAGAGAACCATAATCACTTTTTGAATTCTCTTTGAATTTTAGAATTTACTTTTTTTGTTTTATCTTTTTGTTTTTAGCAAGGATTTACTTATTTGCTTTTTTTTCAAGAACTGAAATCCAAAATATTAAAGTTTTGTGGGTTATTATAATGATGAACGTCGATTTGTTGGTTATATAGATAATTATAATACGACCTGATTTGCAAATTGTGAAATCCGCTATAATCATCACATAAGGGTGAAATTCGCTTTTATATACAAAGCAGATTTCAATATTTCGCGACCCCTGCTCTATCATAATTATAAACAAAATCCATAATCATGAATAAATTGGATAATTGAACAGCATAACGATATTAAGCCGCATTCATGCTTATAAAGTAACGAAATGAAATTTATTTATCTTTATTATTTTACATAAAAGGTTTAACTTTTATTTATTATAATTAGTATGTTTATTTATTAGTATAATAGCAAATACAAAGATTACACGAAACAGATCATAACAATTTATGGTTTGAATGATAAGTTAAACTCGGGTGGTGATTAGTGGTAATGCTAGATTGACTCACATTTTTCTTGCAAATATAATCTTTATTATATATAATTTCTATGAGCATATAAATGAGCTACCCGTATTCTTATTACCCAGAAGATTGATTCGAATCGGTTACGTATTATAAAAGACTTCAATGATTATCGATTTGCTAATAAACGCTTAATAAAGCTTAATTGAATAGTAATATAGATTTTCTTGAGCTTTAAATGCTACATTAAATTTACTAAACAATATATAGATTTTATTTATAAACAAATCCTAATATTTATTATGTTTGAAAAATCTTAAAATATGAAATAAATGATACAGAATGTTTAGGATACATATGAACTTTTAAAGTAGATAAAATAGTCAAAACTTGCTAAAGAGCTTATAAAAAAGCTTTCTTATTTATGTATACTACAAAACTGCAAACACTCAATAAATATCAACAATTAAAAATATTGTTTAAAGAGTACAAATATATATATATATATTTTGTCAATATAATCACTAATAGTTGACCTACGGGTGACCCAAAAGGTTGTCACCACCTGTAAAGACTCACCTAAGTCGGAACGCTATTTATTTATCTTCGACTGATCTCAAATACTGTTCAAAAAGTTGTGCAAATAATCTTAAATAAGTATCTTCATCTTCGCTTTCATCAGGTTTCAAATAACTCGTTTCATCTTTAAAAGTATCTACGCTCTCTTGATGATCATTTAATTGTTCTTCAGAATCCTCACTTTCTAAAGATTTTAAATACAATTCAGCTTTCTTTATATTTTTTAAAAGTTGCCCATTAGGATCACCACCTTCAGCAGATTTTGAATACCATTCAAATGCCTTTTTTTCATCTTTTGAAGTGCCTATGCCTTCTTCATAGCATAATCCAACATTGAGTCTCCCATTAGGATTTCCACTTTTAGCCGATTTTAAATACCATTCAAATGCCTTCTTTTCATCTTTAGAAACACCTAAACCGTCATGATAACATGTTCCAACATTTAATTGTCCACTAGCATGTCCGCCTTCAGCTGCCTTTAAATACCATTTAAACGCTTTCTTTTCATCTTTAGAAATACCTATGCCTTTTCGATAACACTGTCCAACATTGAATTGTCCACTAGGATCACCTCCTTCAGCTGATTTTAAATACCATTCAAACGCCTTTTTTTCATCTTTAGGAATGCCCAAGCCTTCACTATAGCAACACCCAACATTGAATTGTCCTGCTGATTCTCCACATTCAGCTGATTTTAAGAACCATTCATATGCCTTCTTTCCATCTTTAGAAACTCCTATGCCACATCGATAGCAAAGTCCAATTGCAAATTGTCCTTTAGGATTTCCGTTTTCTGCAGACTTCCAACTCCATTCAAATGCCTTCTTTTCATCTCTAGAAATGCCTGTACCTTCATCATAGCAAATTCCAACCGCAAGTTGTCCATCGGAGTTTCCATTTTCTGCTGACTTTAGGTACCACTCAAATGCCTTCTTTTCATCTTTAGAAATACCTATTCCTTCATTATATGACAACCCTACTGCATATTGTCCTTGAGAATTTCCTCCTTCGGCTGATTTTAAATACCATTCGAATGCCTTCTTTTCATCTTTAGAGGTACCTATACCATTTAGATAACAATTTCCAACATTTAATTGTCCATTCGAGTGTCCACCTTCAGCAGATTTTAAATACCATTCAAATGCCTTCTTTTTATCCTTAGAAACATATGCACCCTTATCATAGTAAACTGCAACTGAAATTTGTCCATCGACATTTCCATTTTCGGCAGATTTTAAATACCATTCAAATGCCTTCTTTTCATCTTCAGATGTACCTATACCATTAAGATAACAATTTCCAACACTTAATTGCCCACCGGAACGTCCACTTTCTGCAGATTTTAAATACCATTCAAATGCCTTCTTTTCGTCTTTAGAAACGCCTATGGCTTTATCATAACAAAGACCAACCGCATAATATCCTTTAGAATCTTCACTTTTGGCACATTTCATAAACCATTCAAATGCTTTTTTTTCATCTTTAGAAATACCTATACCTTCACTATATAACATTCCCACCCCATATTGTCCACTAGAATTTCCACCTTCAGCAGATTTTAAAAGCCATTCGAATGCCTTTTTTTCATTTTTAGATATACCTGTGCCATTTAAATAACAATTTCCAACATTTAATTGTCCATTGGAATGTCCACCTTTAGCAGATTTTAAATACCATTCAAATGCCTTATTTTTATCTTTAGAAATATATACACCTTCATCATAATAAGTTCCAACTTCAAATTGACCATCAACATTTCCATTTTTAGCAGATTTTAAATACCATTCAAATGCTTTCTTTTCATCTTTAGAAACACCTAAACCATTATAATAACAAGTTCCAACTTCAAATTGACCTTTAGAATCTTCACTTTTAGCAGATTTTAAAAACCATTCAAATGCTTTTTTTTCATCTTTAGTAATACCTATACCTTCACTATATAATAATCCTATTACATATTGTCCATTAGAATTTCCACTTTCGGCAGATTTTAAATACCATTCAAATAATTTATCTTTGGAAATTCCTATTTCTGTAAGTTGACTTAATAAATCTCCTTTTTTAATTGAATTTAAATGTTGTTTATTCATCTACGTAAAAAATTTTCATGAACAAAAATAACGTCAGTTTGTGGCTGTTGTTCGTGTGAATGATACATAAAAAAAAGTTCTTATAATTACGTAATATCTTCATAATACGTATCGGTGTAATGCTTATCGTTATATCTTTCGGTCCATTCTAAATTTGTTTACTGTTATGTAAATCTAATCATTTGAACCGGTTATTCATACTTTAATCAGGTAACCGAGCCAAACCGAAAATAATTCGGATCAATTGGTTGAATAAAAGCTAAATCGACTAACTCGAAATAGTCTTAAACTCGATACATTTTTCAACAGCAATAACGATAGGAGCTTTCATTCATTTTTGTAGATCATTTCGTGACTTTATAAAACCTGATTGGCTAATAGACAATGAATTCGAATTAAAAAAAAAATACTATGTATAAGTTATTAAAAAAGACATTTTTAAACTATAAATTTTAATTTATCATAATAATTTTAATGTATTGATTCTGACAGTTGTCAAATAAGTATCCGGTTAAATTTAATTAAAAAAGTAGAATTTATTTGAATTTA